CTGTAATCCCAGCACTCTGGGAAGCCGAGGCAGTAGGAGTTCACTTGAGTTCAGTAGTCTGAGACCAGCCTGAGCAAGCATGAGACACTATCTGTACTATACATAGGAAGTCAGCTGGGCTGTTGTGGCAGGCACCTGTAATCGCAGCTACTCAGGAGGCTGAGGCAGGGGGATCGCTTTAGCCCAGATATTTGAGGTTGCTGTGAGCTAGGTTGATGCCACTCTGTTGCCTGGGCAACAGAATGGGACTCTCTCTCAAATAAATAAATAAGTAAATAAAAATTTAAAAAAAATTAGAGGAACTTTTCCATAGAATTTCTTCAGAAAATATGAGCGTTTCAATTATGTTTTATGCCATGAGTCCTAGCTTGGTGGATGTGAATCTTAAAAAAAAAAAAAAAAATTGTGGGTCAGAATAGGATTCATCATTTTAAGCTTAATGCCTTTAAGGCAGACCCTGCTGTCCTCTCTCTGGCATGGACCATCCACCGTCCCCTGCCTTACAAGAGCAGCACTTTATCTTATTCAGGTGGCTCTTGAACACACTTGATTTTGAAACCCTCTAGAATCACGCTGAATTGGAAAAATAAATTCTCCTTGCTTGACTAAAGGTAAACTTTAAGCTACTTAAGAGTGAAGAGTCTTATGCATGTCTTTCTAGAACCGGCAGTATCAACAGATGCTTAAAGGACGAGGGAAAAGCAAGGAAGGAGGCAGGGTGAGACTTAGAGTCTACTCCACCAGGAATTTACCATGTACGTGGCTCAAGAGTCTTGCTGTAACAATGCTCTGGAGCAGAAGTGAACAGGAGAAAGTTAATCTGTCCACATCAGAAGTATCTTCGTAGAAGGCAGATCCACCAATAAGGTAGTCCCATGGATGCCCCAGCCAAAGACAGTACACAATGAGACTGTTTTAAATGCTAAAACATGTATGTTTCCAAATATACAGTTTTAAAAAGATACTGTAATGCAGTCATAAACTTTTGACATGACCATCAAAACAGGCCTCTATTTTATGATGACCATTAACAAGGTCTATGTTACACTAGAGATTTGTTTTATTAAAGAGCACTGAAAATATCAGCTCACTCTCTGGTACTTAAGCTTACGTAAATTATTTAAGCATTTTTAGCACTCATATGGGATTATATAAATAACAAGACCAAGTAGAAGTCATCGGTAGTTTTCCAGTTGAGTTTTTGTTGAACGAAACAACTGTCTAGTGCTACATATAGGCATTTTTCCCCATGATTAAATGTCCACATATTTGAATTTTAGAGAAAAATAAAAATCTTTCTGTCTGAGGTAGAGAATATTTTACTTGACTTTTTATTTCCCTTCCTGAAAACTTATTCATTGCATACTCTGTAAAATTAATGTTAGAAAAGTAGAGAAATCTACCAACATGACCCAAATTCCTAACTGAAAGACATTTAGAAGATGAAGAAGCTGAGTTAATTACTGTTCCAAGGCCACAAAGCTAACACTGGCAGAGCTGGACCCAACATGCCAGGCTTTCTGACCCCTATAGCTGAGACTCTTCCACTTTCCAATGAAGTAAAAAGATCTGTGTGATAACTCCTACTTAGAATGAAGGAAAAACTTCTTGGCAACACTGATATTCTTTGTTTTTTACTAAATAGTTAGAACTACAAGTCCCATCTAATTTACTTTTTTGCTTTGGCTGCTAGGAAACTCAGATACCACAGCCTAGAATTTGTTGCTTATTTTCCACTCTAATTATAAGATTTGAAACTGAAAACTATAGGTTTTAATTTTCAAAATTAACTTTAAAAAGTAGGTATTATAAAATCCTTTCTGAACTGGGGGAATTATGAGTGATAAACAAGGAAATAAAAACAAAATTCAGAATATACTTCTCTTTAAAATGGAAACCCCGTGAAATCTGAATCTAGGTTTTAATTGGCAGATGTCTTTGCTAAAGTTCTGTGATCAATAAAACGTTATTAAGGGGGAAAAAAGGAAAATAAGAATCCTGATTTTTGTGGCAGAAAAGAAACAGGTCTTGTAGTCTGAAAATATAGATATGAATTATAATTTAGAATAAGTTATGAGTGATAGTATGTTAGACATTTCATTTTTTGGATTTTCAGATTCCCATATTTCAAATGGGCATTTGAAATACTGACTACTGAACGGAGCTTTCACGAAGATTAGTTAGTTATGTAAAGCTGACTCAGTACTCTCACTGTATCCCCAATACTCCTTAACACTTTGTTCCTTCTTTTTGGCTACTAATTTTCTAATTCATGTATCATGGTAGTCTCCCTTACAAACAATTTAGTAGCATTCAGCACTGCATTGCTGTGTATCTATTACCTGGGTCTACTTCCAAAACATTTTCATTACCCCAAAGAAAAGCCCATCAAATACCATGTATTATATGACCTCTTGGTATTTTTTTCCTTGGCTTTTTCTTGTTGAGAAAAATCAGTAAGATAAGAGTACTAGATTGGTAGTAGTTCTATAGGTGTTTTTCATCTTAACATTACTGATTAATAAAAGAAAACAATTATTTCCTCTTATGTTCTGGGAAAGTGGGAATGCAAAGACATCTTTAGCAAGTTTGTAATCTAGTGAGGTGTAGGGCTTGACTATCTACTTCAACTACATGAAAATGATTCAAATCTTTATCAATTCTACGACAAGTGGAAGTCTAAACTGAGCCCCCGCCCCAATTCCCAAGATGTATATAAATTTCTGGAAGTTTCTGTCCTCAAGGATACTCTGGCCTCTGGCTTCAATCAGCACTTTCTTCAATTTGCACATCAAGAACAACCCCAGGAATACCAGTGTTTAGTAGCCCTTTCTACAGATGGAGGGACCCCTGGAGCTCTGCTCTCTTCTGCTACGTCTAAAATGCTCTTGCCTACTTCTGTTCACTGGTCCCATCCAGCCTCAGGCTCTTCATCTTGGTAGCTTCATCTCTTCTCTGATTTCTTCCCTGTCCCAATTTTATGCAGAAGAAAAACAACGGATTCCTTCGCTTGGCATAGGCAGAGCAGCCTGCCCCTACCACAAGTCTTGGGGGTAAGGCTGTATCCAAGAGCTTGGCTGAAGTGTGGATGGGGTTCAGCTGAGTCTACCTCCAGACATTCCCAAGAGTTCTGGAGGAATTTGGTGTCAGCTATTAAGATAATGAAAATTTCTCCAACTTAGTATGTATGCAAATCATACTTATATAAGCCCCTCCCCCAAATGATGTGTACTAAAGAGAGGCACAATGAAGTGCGATGGGATTCAACGAGGGAGTTTCTGAGTTTCTCTGGGAGGATCAGGCCAGGCTTAATGGAAGATACCAACAAATGGGGCTGGAAGAATATTAAGTGGACCTGTCATTGGTAAAGAGAAAGCACCAGAAGAGAGGACTGATGATTATGCATGTTAAAAAAAATCATACAATCTTAATACCAAATTGTCTAATGAACAGAGTTACTAACAGGTGGATAGGTGGGTAGGTAGGAGAGAACACAGGGCAGACAGGATGACCAGGACCAGGCATGACAGATTTTGAATGTTTCTGTAAATGAACTTCATTTGGTAGGCCCTGGAAGTGACATGTTTTCATTTTTTTTTTTATTTAGTTTTAAGAAAAAAATGCTTAAAGAGAGTAGGATTCATGGGTGAGAAAGTGATTAAAGTCAAAGCCATTTATTAACGAGAGAGCTATTTACTGCCGTCCTCTAAATAAGTGGATCATACCTGGACTGAAGAAGTGTCCTTAGATCTGAATCAGAGGGGACCAATTTCAGGCATTTCAGAAGCAGAACTGTCAGCTCTTGGTGACTGACTGGATAATGGGAGAGAAGGGAGAGAGAGGAATGAAAGGTGACCCTGGCAGGGGAGGCCTGGGTCAAGAGTCATGTTAGAGCAGGACACAAGTAATATCACCAACTGACCTAGACTCCACAGTGGCATGACAGGAGAAGCTAATGATTAAAATTAATCTACAAACAATAAGTTTATGTTTAAATGACAACCAAGTGGCACTTTCCTTTCATTTGCTAGGCAACTAATAATTTAAAAGGAGAGTGGAAACCAATCAAGAAGTATGTTCAGGAATTAACTTGAATAGATTTTATAAGAGAAAGCTCGTAAAATAAATTTAATGGTAATGGAATTTCATTAAATGCTGTCCAATATGCAATTCTAAAGGGCAGGTACTCTGTAGGGAAAATTAGACTAAAAATGCACAGTTTTTGTTTATTTAGTCAATTAACATTCATTAAATTCTTTTGGGGATTTACTGAGTTTACAGTTGGCAGTTCATATACTTGATGACCTAGGTGATTGCTTTTTTGATTGGTTTTAATTATAGTAGTTTTGTTTTTCAGGCCCTCAAAGAGATGCATTTAAGTGGAGGGAAGGACAAAGGGTTGAAAGGAACAAGTTCTAAAGCACTCACTACGGCATCAGGCAGCTTCACTGAGTGTCTCACATATCAGAATAGCTTGAAATGGCGGAGGGGATGAAAGATCTGAGTGGAGAACTACCAGGGTAAAAATCGAGCCAACGCATCTTTGGCTCTTTAACAAATCTATCAGCTTCCTTAAGCTTTGGTTTCTCTTCCTGTAAAACAGTAGTGCCTAGACTTTGCAGTATTATAAAAACAAACTCTTTGCGGGAACAGGTGTGGATATTGGGGACATGATTGAAATTACTACTGCTGTTGCACTTTGTGCTAACTGCAATTGTTAACCCCACTTTACAGACTGAGAAGCCCGGGGTTCAATCACGTTAAGTAACTTGCAGGAGAGCAAAGATGTGAGGAGGGGAGCACTGCCTTTGCAGTACTTTACTCCCAAGCACATAGAAGAGCAGTTGGCAGAGGAGGTGCTCAACAGACACCTGCTGAATACTGATGCAAAGGAGAACACAGCTATGCACCCCCTTGTCTTCATCTCTGCATTTTTTTTTTTTTTTTAGAAAAAAACCACAGGGCTTTATTATTCCCATCACAAAGAGCAGGACGGGGGAGCACGCTGTCAGTGGGGAAGAGGGCCTATTTGCCAGCAATAAGTGGGTTCCGCAGGACCACAATGACCGAGTCCCCACGCAGGAACATCTTGGAGATGCAGCAGTCTTTGTTGACTGGCTTGGACGTCTTCTTACCCTTGCCACTTTTAGGGACCTCAGTCCACATCTCCTTCACATTCTCCAGCACCATGTTGCAGCGCCTATCAAAGGCCTTCACCCGGCCCAGCAGTTTCTTGTTATTGCAGCAATTAGTAAGCACTTGGGTGTTGTCCTTGACTGACTGTGGGAGCAGAGAGTGAACCAGTGTGAAATTCTTCCTCCCGCTTCTGTAGCTCCTCCGGGGTCATTTCACTCTCGGGCTTGTTGAGGAGGCTGTGCTCTCAAGTCGCTTCCTTCTCCGCGTAGCTTCTGTCTATCTTCATCTCTGAATGTTGGCAGTCCTGAGCTCAGTCCTGTGGCCACCTCTCCTTCCTGTTCCACCTCTCCCCTGGTGACCTCACTCACTCCCATGATTTTTACAGTGTGCTTTGTATACCCTCTTTTAGGATACCACTCAATGCTACTTCAAACCTCCCTCCTGAGCTTAGACTCACCTATCTTTTTGACCTTGCTGTATAAAGATATACAACTTTAGTTTAACATGCCCAAAGCTGAACTTGGCTATTTCCCCCCCAGCTTGACCCTTTCCCAGTTTTCCCTATCTCAGAAGTGACCACTACTCTCCTGGTGGCTCAGAACAAAAACAGGAGCCCTTTGTGAATATTCTCTTTTACCACTTATGATCTTGCAGCAGGACGCACTGGCTAAACTTCCAAAATGTACCGTAAGTTTGAATACTTCCTCCTATCCCTGTCTATCCCTTTCCTGACTTCAAGCTATAGCATCAGATTGGAATCTCTGCTTCTAAACCCTTCCTCCTGCCTCCCACAGTCTTTTTACTATTAATCATATTGACATGTACATGGCATGAAATTTACCCCTTTAAATATTTTTCAAACAGAGTCCATCCCCTGGGATAGAGTGCAGTGGCATCATAGCTCACTGCAAACTCAACTCCTGGGTCCAAGCAATCCTCCCTCAGACTCCTGGGTAGCTGAGGACTACATGAGCCTGCCACTATACCCACTTAATTTTTTCTTTTCTTTCTTTTTTTTTTTTTTTTTTTAGAAATAGGGTCTCACTATGTTATTCAGGCTGGTCTTGAAGTCCTGGCCTCAAATAATCCTCCTGTCTCAGCCTCCCAAAATGCTGAGATTACAGGTGTGAGCCACTTTACCTGGCTCCCTTCAACTATTTTAAAATGGGAGTCACTACACTCACATTGTTGTGCAATCATCAGCAGTACTTAGATCTAGAATGTAATTCATTATCCCTAACAGAAACTCTTCCCATTATGTAATAATTCCCATCCTCTCCCTTCCCTTAGCCTCTGCTAACCTCTATTCTATTTTCCGTCTCTACGAATTTGCCTACTTTAGGTACTTTGAATAAGTGGAATCATATAGTCTTTGGGTTTTTTTTTTTTTAGGTCTGTCTTAGCATAAAGGTTTCAAAGTTCACTCATGTTATAGCATGTATCAGAATTTCTTTCCTTTTGAAGGTTGAATAAACACACACACCCCCCACAGTTAAGTTGATTCACTCACCTAAGGATGGACATTTGGGTCATCTCCTCCACCTTTTGGCTATTGTGACGTGGATAATGTCTCTATGACCTGTATTTTTGAGTCCCTGCTTTCAATAGTTTTGGGTATCTCCCCAGAAGTGGAATTGCCGAATCAACTGGTAATTGTATGCTTAACTGTTTGAAACGTCACCAAACCATGTTCTGTGTGGCTGCACCATGTTACATCCCCACAGGCAAAGCACAAGGGTTGCGGTCTTTCCACACGCTCACATTTGTCACTTTCCTTTCTTTCTTTCTTTTTTTTTTTTTTTTATGACAACAGCCATCTGATAGATGAGAAGTGGTCCCCACAGTCTTCCTTTAATAATTAGTACCTACAATTTGCAAAACACATACCGTCATATTGAAACACCAGTGGTTTCCTGTTTCGCTGAGTGCAAAGCCCTAAGTCTTTATCATAACCTCTCAGGCTCTTTGGGAACCCTGAGACCTCTTTGTTCTCCTTGGAGCTGCAGCTGCTCCCGAGCACATCAGACCCCTTTCAACTCAGCACCTTCAAGTTTACTGTTTATCCCTGTTACCACACGGCTTTTGGCTTCATTAATTCATGTCTCTGATTGAATGTCTCTTCTTCAGAGAGGACATCCCAGCACCCAATCTCTACAGCTTTTCCTGACTCCCAGCACCACGCCTCGCACTGACCACTATAATATAACTTTCTATCTTCTATTTCTTTGCTCATTATCCATCTCTCAGCAGAATGTAAGTTCCACGTAGTAGGGGCACTTTCTCTTACTCAGTTTTATAACCCAAATAGCTAAAACAGTGCCAAGCAAATTATAGGCACTAATTATTAAAGGAATGTGTGGTTATATAATTATAGATGCTTAACAGTTTGGGATTTTAAGGTAAAGAATTTTAGTCTACTTATTTTTATCATTTTTATAAGAGATGGCCAAAGAGTCTTTGATGCCTTAAAATATAAAATACATGTCACTTCCTTTCTTTGGGGGGGGGCATGAATTTTGCTACTATTGGTCAGTTAAGAAAAGAAATATCTACTGATATTCTGAAGAATAATGACAATGTCATCATGTGTTTACTGGTGCTTGGCACTATGCTAGGAACTTAATAGATGTTCTGTTTAATTTCCACGAAATTCTGTAGGGTATTTGCATTTTGACAAGCAAGATAAGACTTGTGAAGGGTAAACTGCCAGAGAGCACAAGACACTAAGTAGCAGGTCATGAATTCCAACCGAGCACTGTCTGAGGTCACTGCTTATTCCACCGTGCCATTCTGCAGAAAATCATACTCAGCAATTCAGAGGCCACGGAGAATGAGATCTCACAATGTTTAGTTAGCAGCATGACAAAGCACAGACTGCACACCTAATTTAAAGGACATCAGTTAACACAGGGGACAATAACAGGTGATGCTCCCATTGTTGTCCTTGGTCATTACAGACATTCAGAGGAGGGAGCCATTACAGAGGAAGCAGGACTTAAGCTGGGCCCTGACCAGTGGGAATTAGAAAAGGCAGATAGAGGGACATGGAGAGGGCCACTCCAGCCTGTGAAAACCACCTGAACACTGGCCTGAGGACAAAGAGAAATGAGTAGTAGAATTTGGTCAAAAAAGGGTAAAGCGGGCTACCTGAAATTCAGAGCTCACCTCTTGAGGAGTCCAAGAAGAAGAAGAAGATTAGCTGGCATTTATTGAGCACTTAGTAAATGATGCCAGGTACCGTGTCATGTGCTATGTAAGGATCATCTATCTATTAATAACTTCCAGAGCTCTGTGAGATTGATCCTGTTGTCCCCACTTGACAGAAACACAGAGACTAGAGATGAACAGTGAGAGAGGGGGACGCACAGGCAGACCAGGGAGGTTTTGAAGATTTTGATGCAGCGACAAAGCACTGGTCTTCGTGTTGTTACGCATGGGTTTTGTTGTTGTTTTCACCCGGCTTGAAGTTTTGCCATGTCGTAATAAGCAGTAATGCTCAGGCCCGGGTGTGGCCTTAACGCTCCATCAGCTCCCTTCTTTCCAAAGCCATCTGAACATCACAGGATCGATCTAAGCATGTTCCATGAAGACCCGTCCACTAGCCTCTGCTCACTCCACACCAGTGACTTTCCACTGGTATGCTGAGAAAATCTTTAAAGATCACTAATTAAATTACTTTTGAAAGAAGTTCAAGGTGCAGCAGGTATATTTTTTACTGTTTTTTGATCAATATAATTTAAACGTGCTGTGGAAGTTTAACTATAGGTTCAAGAGTGCCATGAGATTAAAAAAAACAAAAGGTTGAAAAACACTGCTGTAGACTGTTAGCGACATGCCCTACTAACTGAAATTTCTTACTTGCTTGTGACACACCCCTGGTGCCTCCATTCAAGGTCCTATCTCCCACCCATCCAAACCCATATAATGTAACTCACTTATGGGGAAAGTGACTGTGGTTTTTGAGAACTGCTTCATGGACAAGTGACATTAACCAATGATACTATCTTTAGAAAGCCTGGAGTTGCTGTAAATCATAATCTAGTCCTCTCAACTCAGAGAGTTAATAGCATAATAAATACTTGACTCTTTCAGCTGCCAATATAAACTACAGTTTTTTTAGACCATCTGACTCTAAGAAGTCAGTAAAATAATTCCTACATTAGAAATGTCACCATTTTATGATTTTCCCCTTATTATATCTCATAATTTCCCCAAGATTACACAACATCTGGAGATGCAAGTGTCCCTGTGTTAAAGGCATGTTGTCAAGCAGGAACTTTATATGTTACCAAGCACTTGCTGTGCTTCTGTAACAGGCAATGTGAACGTCTCCATGGCATGTATATGATGATATACAAATTACCATCAGCGTGTTGCTATGCTGAGTTTTTTTCTTCTTTTTTTTCTGAGATAATCTCACTCTGTTGCCCCAGGCTAAAGTGCGGAGTGGCATCACGACAGCTCACAGCAACCTCATATCCTGGGCTCAAGTGATCCTCCTGCCTCAGCCTCCCCAAATGGCTGGATACAGCCTATGCTATCATGCCCAGCTAATCTTTCTATTTTTAGTAGAGATGGGATGGGGTCCCACTATTGCTCAGGCTGGGACTCTTGACTTCTGGTGATCCTTTTGCCTCAACTTCCCAGAGTGCTAGGATTATAGGTGTGAGCCACCATGCCCAGCCACCAGGCAGGATTAACAAGGTATATTATAATAAAAAGTGTTCAAATGTGTTTCACATCATCAGTGTGAGTTCATGTTTATTCAAGGGCAGAAAAATGAAGTACTGAGGCTTATTATGAAGGAGAGGGACCAAAACAGAACCCAGTGGAAAATTACATATTAATAAATATACTCCAATATATGTCATGGTTTCTAGCTTTCATTTAAAAACAAAATTAGAGCCACAAATGAACTGTCTTTACATTGGATTTGCAGTTCTTGTTACATATTAACTTTAAAAGCACGCTGTTGCTCTAATGAAAAAAAGAGTACGTGCCAGTGGATGTCTATATTTCCTCCCATTTTCCAATCAATGCAATGCATTTTTTTCTTCTGTTTTCTTTCTTGTCCACCTCATAGCAACTTCTGACGTCCTCAGGACGTCTGATGTGCTCAGAAACCCTCACAAATCACTCCAAAGCTTAATGTATTCAGTGCAGCGGTTCTCAACCTGTGGGTCACGACCCCTTTTTACCAATGAAAATACACTGCGGCATTAGGAGGGTTGA